TTTTTCGTTTTCAGCCAGTAAAAAATTTTGCAGTTGTCATGTGCTGCAAGTTTTTTGTTGGTGCGCTTGGGGTAGTTAATGAATGGATTGGTTGTAGATCATTTTGCATTGTTTTTAAGCCACCAATCGTCACGTAACAGTTGTCCACGTTATTTCATTTTATTACATAATCATGAGCTGCATATATCATATGATTTTCGAACTCGCCTTTCTTATTATAATTCGCATTATTTGTTGTCGTTTATGATTATGGTTAAGCGTTCTCGCTATGATTAATCTTGCAATTATTACTCGTGTTATTATTACTCGCGATGTTTTCGCGACCGCTTACATGATAGTTACTTTGTTATGTAGTAGGTTATGTACTGCAGAATGTAATAAATACCGGTACTTATAGTTCTGTACATTTATTGCGTTATCAATAAAGTTCTTAAGCAAATTTGCAAACCTCAAGATAATTGACAATTCAAATTTATACAAGTATTCCGCAACAATGAGTAAACAAACGAGAAAGAGTTACCTTGTTGCCATCAAACTTGAAGCAATTGATTACGCAAAATATGTAGGCAATAGAGCAGCAGGACGAATGTTCGCTGTTACTCACACCCAGATAGCACAATGGAGGAAGAAAGAAGAAGAACTGAAAAAAGCTAACATGAGAAGTAGACGAGTCGGTTCTGGTAAAGAAGCAGCGTATCCATTAGCAGAGGACGCTTTAAAAGAATGGATCGTCGATTTACGCAACAGAGGAATAGGCGTCACTTCATCTATTATTAAATCTAAAATGACCGAATTCCTCTCATACAGTTTCAGCGAACAATATCCAAATGCTGCACAAGACTTTAAAGCGTCTGATAGTTGGTTTAACCTCTTCCTAAGACGACACAATTTCTCCCTTCGTAGACGTACCAAGATCGGCCAGAAATTACCCCAAGAAATACAGCAAAAAGTTGCTAACTTCCACGAATTTATTAAAAATATTCGTCTACAAAACAACTTTGATCCTACCCGTATAATCAACCTTGATGAAACACCTGTCTTTTTTGATATGGTGGGAGCCCTTACTATTGATTACAAAGGAGTGAAAACGGTCCATATAAGAACAACAGGAAACGATAAAAACAGATTTACCTGCGTGCTTGCTGTATTAGGAGACGGCACAAAACTTCCTCCTATGGTCATATTTAAGGGTAAAAGACTACAGAAGGGAGATTACCCACCAGATGTGATTGTGCGGATGAATAAGAATGGTTGGATGACAGAGGAATTAATGGTAGATTGGTTAGACACTGTCTAGGGAGAAAGAGTTGTAAAGTACGGCAAAAAAACTCTCTCTTTATTGTAGACTCGTTTAGAGGGCATCTAACCCAAACCGTTAAAAGTAAATGTCAAGAAAAAAATCTTGTCTTAGGGGTTATTCCAGGTGGGCTTACATCTATAGTTCAACCGTTAGATGTGTCGATTAACAAACCATTTAAAAATAGATTAAGGGAAAAGTGGCGTACGTGGATGGCGGAGGGTAAATTCGAGATGACAAGAGGAGGAAATTTAAAGAGGCCTGACAATTCTTTAATGTGTCATTGGATCAGTGAAGCTTGGTCTGATATCCCATATGAGATTATAGTGCAGTCATTTAAAACCTGTGGGATATCTAACGATCTCAATGGTACAGAAGATAATTTAATATGGAAGGAAAACAGTGAAAATGCTGGAGAGAGGGATGAACCAGTTATAGTTTTACCAGAGGACGTTTGTGAAGATGAGGAATGATAATAATAATAAATCGGCATTTACTAAATAAAGTAATATATGGCGTTATTGGTGGATAATCAAGTGGGTGATGAGGGGGGGTGGGGGATTAGCCGTTTTCACACTATTACAGATCTTATCACATGATCGCCGCTTTCATATAGGGGGCCCTTATTCATGGTAGGCCCTTATTCATGAGAGTTTACGGTAAATAAATAACAACATGTTCCATTTATCTCTCAACCAATCCACCACACCAGTATAATATCCATTATAAATGTAAAGATGCCTTATTAACTAATTGTCATACCTCACAGCTACGTATGTAAAACCAAACTTCATTCTCACTATAACTTGAATATAAGTAAGTCACCCAAACCACTTATACTGTACATACAATACAACAATAGTCGTCCACTCTGCCATCCACATACACTCGTACCCCGTTTATATCCCTACCCGGTTATATCCCACCCCCGGTTATATCCCCAAGTTTTGTAAAAACAAATGGTCTTCTAAGAACGAACATTTTTTTTGTGCCCATCTCAGATATATCCCTATCCACATAGAGTCATATGGCTGAATATAATAATCCCAACCCCGTTTATATCCCCTTAACGTTAAGTTACACTAATTGCTAAAACGGTGACATTTTTAAAGCGAAGCAGATCTCTCGCAATTCCATTGGTCAAATTCGTGCAGCAACTGCAAATTGATATTTCTTTCCTGAACAAACTAATGAAAAAGGCGGAAAAAGAACGCATTGATAAATCAAAAACAAAGCAAACTGGATTTATATTGATAATAACATTATGTGTATATACTCGAATAATAAATAAATCATATGTACACTCACTGGACAAAAGTCTACGTAATTTTTGTCGATCACATAGTAAAACATATGAAAAATCTATTTTTT